AAAAAACAACCTCAGGAAAATTCACTAAAACAGTGAAAGGATCATTAAGCATGTATTAGCAACAGGAATGCAGCAGGAGGCTGAGTCATCTGCAGCCTGTTGGTTTTTACTGCAGCCATATTTATAATTCTATTACATGTTTTTATGTGAAAAAAGGAAGAATTTGAACTGGACTTTGTCACACATTTTACCTGAGCAGACTCCCACCGCTCATCTCCTCCTCTGGGAACACAGGAGCGGCTTCTCTCTCTGAAATCTCATCAAGGGCCTGGAAGACACCAAAGAATATAAAAGTGTTTTTTTTACCTCCACATTAGATTAACCCTTTAACTTACCCTGACCCTATCACTAACCATAACCATGAATAAGTCAGTTACAAAATGTGAATAGAAATGGTAGAACACACAAATGGGTCTGGGGGGGGAGGGGGGGGGTTACCTCCTTCATGCAGGGGAACCTCTTCTCACTCTCAAGTCTGGAGGGTGGAGGGACTTCCAGGCTGAGAGGGTCCAGAGATAGAGCATCCAGGAAGAGGCTCTCCGTTGGCCCTTTCAGCCTCATCGCCGCCCCCTGTTCCTCCAGCATGGCCTCGGAGTCTGAGTACGAACGTGTGGCGGGGGCCAGGAGAGGGGTCGACGTACAGGGGGAGCGTGGGTTGCTGAGAGGGTCCTGAGGTTGGACGGCGCCTCTGGTGCCTGAACCTCCATCTTTGACATCACTGCTGTCGCCGTGCAGACTTTTGAGCTCCTGCTGCATCTGCGTTTAGTCACACGGACACAATCAATGCATCTGTCGGAGGATTCAGTCAATTTATCCTTCCATCCATGCTTCCATTCATGCTTCCATCCATCATTGTCTACTTCTTTAACAGTGACAACATCACAGACACATTCATCCTTCGTTCCTTTTGTCTCCTGACAGTCTGAGCAGCTTGTGTGACCTGTGCTTTATAGTTTGCTGCAACATCAGTGAATAATGCGTCTCCACTTCCTGATTGTGTTCCTGATGCTGTGGTTCCTGCTCCTGCTCTGTTGTGTTCCTGCTCCCACTCCTGTCCTATTAAACGGCACACGTTCCCACATCCTGCTCTGAACAGCAGACACAAAGGAAGTCAATGGCTGCTGCTGATCTCATTAAATCTCAGAGTCAATCAATTATTCATTAATCCTCTGTAGAGTTTGTCTCTCTGTTTTGACCTGTTTTTAATGTCTTCCTTCAACTGTGATTTTTTTTAACACTTTTATTGTTATTTTGCAGCTGTTGTCAGATAAATACAGTGGACACAAATGCAGTGGATTTTATTTTCAATAAATGAATTCCTCCCTCTCTCTTCCTCCCTCCCTCCCTCACCTTCTCCATCTTGTGGTGGAGCTCTCTCATGCTGCAGCTCCACTCCTGCCTCTCCTGGTCAAAGCGCTCCATGAGCTCTGCCCTCTCGCAGCTCCACTTCTTCTCCCCGTGCTGCAGCTTCCAGCGGAGGTCCAAGGAGGTGCTGTGGCTGTCAGCCAGCAGCTGCCGATGCTCCTCGCGCTCCTGCTTCAACGTCCACTCTGGGTCAACTAAAGGCTCCCCTGTACTTCCTTGTGCTTCACCTCGCACTTGACCTCTGGCTTCCTGCTCCAACTGGTCAGAGAACAAAAACGTGCAGTGATTGGCTGGTGATTATTGAATGGTTGTAAAGTAAAAGATAAAAAGGTTGAAATGGAAGACCATTGATGACCACATTTAGGTCATACATTTGATTTGTCTTGAACATGATAACACACAGACCTACAGCAGAAGCTTCCACCAGGTTCCCACCATTGTTAACGTTTTGCCCTGAGTGCGGTTTCGTCTCAGGTGGACGACATGTGTTTTCTGTCCTTTGCTGCTAATTTACACACTACCCTTTTCCTTGCACCAGATTTTGTCCTGTCCCTTTAAGGGTGCATGCTGGGACACCATCTGTACCTGTGCAACCTGGCACTTCATCTCTGCCCACTTGACCTCCCAGGCGGCTTTGTCATTGGCATAGGACTGCTGCAGTTGCCACCGCCACGACTCCTCCTCCTGCAGCTCCTCCCGAAACTCCTCCAGCAGCGTCCGCAGGGCCTGCTGCACCCGGCGGTTCTCCCTCAACTGAAACACAAATGTTAAATAAATGTTAAGATCTCCATCTTGTCTCGTCACAGCCGTTCACTCATTCATCCATGAAGTGTTTTTAGTTTGAGGTGGAAAAATAATAATTTAGACACAAAGACACTAAACAGAAAAAAACTTTCTGGATCCAGGAAAGGAAATTCAATTATTTTCAAATGTGGTCAAATTTATTCATTTCCAGCTTTTTTAATGCATTAAAGGGCTGCTTGGTGCTGATTGGATGAGGACAGGGTCAAACCCTGGACAGTTGACCCCTCACCCTCACTCAGACTCACATGTACAGTAAAGTGTGACTTCAGACTGTAAACATCAAACTCCTTCAAATCTTTTATCTGCTAGAATATTGGTGGTCTGTGTGGAGGTGCAGCGGCCCTGCGATAAACATTAGTGCAGTGTTTCAACACTTCAGCAGAACGAGGACTAATGAATCACACAGTGTGTGTGTGTGTCTGTGTGTGTGTGCGTGCGTCTTTGCTGAAAACGTCTTACGACCTCTTTACGCATGTACACGTCATCATCTCGCCTCAGCTGCAGCTGCAGGTATTTTCATCAGCGCTCGTCTCTGCTATCGTAACCGTGCGTAACAAATGCTAACTCCAGCATATCTGTTTTTTTCCCCCAAAAATATTTTAACCTCCTGCATAAATCTTCTAATAGTAAACCAGGCCTGGAGAAATAAAAAAAACTAACCTGGTTGTCATCACATGGTATTACTGCATCTAAGCAGAATAGTTATCCAGGTCAAACTCCCATGAAACATGAAAATGACTGAGGGACATCACGAAATTCACAGCTACAGTAAAACAATTAATACAGTGAGTTGCAGTACAGTATAGTGTATAAGTACAACAAAATCCTGTGTAAGAAGATCATTTTATTTTTAACAGGAGGATTACTGTGCTGGAAATTTATGAACAACAATTAAAAAAAATATCTCCAGTCAATTACAGTTTTAAGGCCTCTGCTGTAGATTTAGTCTAAACTGATAATGTGTTCCATTGATTCACAGACGTCAACATTTTAAAACTGTCTGTGTACCTGTCTTTGGTGCTGCAGGTGCTGATCATGAGGACTGATGGCCCCAGGGTCTGGAAGATCTCCTGGAGTTGGTGGTAGACACAGTCTGTCCTCCTGGTCCGACTCCCCCTCTGCCTGCCCCATTACCACCCCCACATCTGGGAGGCTCTCCAACTTGTCAAACTGGAAGATGTCAGTATCAAAAAACTGTCCAAACCAGCAGGTTTGCAGAATCGACTGAGCCTGAAAACCCACCTCAGGTAGAACCGCCTCCTCGCCGCCGTCTCCTTTGCGTGCCAGCCTCCAGTGCATGAGGATCCACCTGAGCTTCATGTAGATGATGACGGTGTTGCGTCTGAACAGACGAACCTCTTGCTGGAGCATTGTCCTCTCCTGAGTCCAGGGAACCTCGTGACTCTGAAGCCCCTGCAGCTGGAGAGCCCCACGCTGGGCCTCCAGACGCAACAGGTCCTCATCCTGGAGAAAGAGGTTTTTGTTGATGATATTTTCAATTTTACACCAGATAGCACTTGTCACACATGATATTTTCCACCATTTTACACCAGATAGCACTTGTCACACTGAAAAATGTTTTCTGTAAAACTACAGACAGTTACGTTATTATGAGCTGAGACAGTGTCTTCATTATTTTAATTAAAGTATGTGATAAATCAGCAGAGGCAGCGGAGGATTAAATTACTGGGTCTGATGTTTGGGATGTGAAGAAATTAAAAAGCGACATGATGGACCGTGCACTGGTACCTGAGGCTGAGGAACAACGCCCCCTGGTTCCTCTGTCAGTGCTCGTGGTTTTTGTTCGTGATCAAGATGAAAACTGACGTCAGGGGTCGGGGCGTCCCGGAGCTGGAGCTGGAGCCACAGCACAGAAGAACACGGTTACTTCACTGACACTTGGAAAAAAAATGATTCAAATATTTTTTCTTTAAATCCTTTTTGCTCGCGGCCCAGAACTTGTGCCAACAGTCAGCAGCCACAGGAGGCAGCAAAGAGGCCGGGGCCTGCTGTCAAATGTCAATGGCAAATATTACCACTTGAATGGATTTAAATCCAGGCACATTATTACACACAAAAAAAACTGCTGCAACAGAAAGACAGGATGTAGATGTTTGTGTTTCACTCCTGGTTCACATGTGACTGATCCAAACGATGGATTTATTAATTCAGAAAAATACCAAAAAATATTCATAAATAGTATAATTTAAAATGTAGCTTAGTAGAGTTGGTGGATTTTAGTTGTTACATTTTGGAATTTCTTCTCATTTGTAATAAAACAAAATAAATCAGAATTATTTCAGTTGTGTTGTTTTGCTGTTCTAAAATTCCATTAATTCTGACAATTAAAAAGGAAATAAAAACTTGTGTGTCTCAGTGAAGTTCATGCGTTAGTGATGTTAAAGATGACATGAGGGAGGCAGAGTTGGGGGGGGGGTGAGTTTGTCTCCATTCAACCTGTGGAGCTGTATTCCACAGCAGTGGCTGTAGTTCTCTAGATTTAGTATACACAGTAATCAACATAAGGCCCGTGTGTCTGTTAAGGAGCAAGAGTGACCTCAGTCCCACAGGTGAAAGGGAAGATGAAGGAGTGGGGAAGGAGGGGCACTGACCTCTGCTCTTAAAGCCAGGGGCCTGTTGTACCTAGTGAGTCCCGCAGCTCCCCTGCTCTGGGGCTGGCCCCAACCCTGGCTCTTGCTCTGGGGCTCCACTCCTCGCTCCTGTCCTAGATGCCACTCCAGCTCATCTCTCTGAACAGACTGTGAGTGACGAGGGGTGAGGAGAGGGGATGAACAGGGGTGAAGAAAGAGGGGGGGAGGGTGAGTGTAGACAAATGAGAGTCAGAGTTCACGGGGACAGGTGAGGGGTGAAGGGGAGAAGGGTGAGGGAAGTGGTGGTGGAGGAGTGGGTGGCCGGGGGGAGTCGGAGGGTGAGGTGGACAGCACAGACAGAGGACAACAGACAGGGTGAGAAGAAGTGGAGGTAAACAGACAGAGAAATGACAAACAAAAGAGAATGGATGAAGGTAAAAGCACAGGAAGGAAATCAACGGAGACTCTGTACAGTCTGGAGACAAACAAACTAGAATACGAAGAAGAGAGCAAAGAGAAAGACCAACTTAAAGATGACGGCGTATGAGAGAGATGAGAAGAGAACGAGAATGAGGATGAACAAAACCATGGGCTGAAACATCTGGCGGGAACACGAGGAGGAAAAAAGAGAGGGAATCGGGGAGAAAAGAACGCAAAAAACACTTGTTATGAAGCGCATGCAATGAAGGATCCATGAGTCCAAACCAACGGCTGAGAGAACCCACAGCAGAGGGCAGAACCGTAACTAGAACCGCAAAGGTCTGCAGCACATGCCCGCTGTGATTACATGAGCAGTTATTCAAGCAGAGTTGAAACGGGAGTCTGTGTGATGTTTGTTTTCCACACATTGCTGCAAGAAATAAAGGAGAATTACAGGAGGCTGAGCGTTAGCCGAGCTGCTGTGCAACAGTTGTTTTCCCATGTATCAGAGAATGGCAGGTGGAAAAGAAGAGTTCAAGTCCTGAGCATCTGCAGAGGTTTTCAAAAATATAAAAAAAATGTTTTTTTGTATCTGATGGACATTTCTGTGGCAGGTTTGTGTGAAATATGACTTCATTTTACCATCCATCTATGGTTTGGTAACAGGTGGACTTTTAGGAGGGATTTAAAACTCGTTTAGACTAGACTTTTTTCTTTTTAGATAAATAATAATAATAATAATAACATATTAGTATAATATAGTATTATCTGTAGTGGTAAAAGTCCTTATTCTTATAATTTTGAACAGAAAAAAGACAGTGGTCTGTCACAAAAAGGATTATGTGACAGGAAGTGAAGAAGATATATCTAATTTTTTTTTAAAGTAGAAACAATCACAATTAATTCCAAAATTCAGAATTAATTCCAAATTCCAAACTAGTAGAATAGTTTCATTATTAGATGACAAAGGAGAACTTAAATCTCTATTTCTATGCTCTCTGATTAATAGTCAAGACAAAGGAGAACACTTTTTGACTTTTTAAATCTCTATTTCTATGCTCTCTGATTGGATACATTTTAGAGTCTACATGACAGTTTTGCTGACCCAGGCTTTACCACAATATAACCAGACACCGGTCAAAGGTGTGAGGAGTTAGTTTGACTCCAGTCTGGCTGTTTGTTTGGAAAATATTTCCACTGAGTCCGTCGTATCATGCAGCACAGCAGTGATGAGCCTGACAGGTGGACGTACACTCAGCCGTAGTCAAACACAGACAGAGATGACAGCCAGGACTTTGTCTTTTTTCTGTGTGAGAGCTGATAACACAGTGCCATGCAATTACGTTATTAAAAATATACCCGGTTATTGTAGCAGGTGCCTAGAGATACATGACACAGAGCTCCACCCTTTTTTGATGAGGTCACAGCGTGTGACGGAGCTGCTGAGCTGCAGAGAGAAAGTCTTCACCCGGCGTCGTCGTCGTCATCGTCATCGTCATTGTCATTATCATGCAACAATAACACATTAGGAGGAAACACTGGATCAAAGCCTGATGGATGACGAAGCTGCTGCTGCTGAGACTGTTAACGTTTCACTCACTCCACTTTAACCAACCCCTCTGTCCTACATCAGCCCCCCGCCCCACCCCTCCACTCCCCTGCAGTCTAGTGACTGAGAGCAGAGAGACACAGCAGGCAGACAGACAGACAGACAGGCAGCCAGGCAGACAGACAGGCAGGCAGGGCTGCCGGCTATGACCGTGTGCATGGAGATGCAGATGTTGATGTAGCAGCAACAGGAAGCAATGGCAGTGACAGTGGGTCAGGGGAGGGGGCGTGGTGGTGCCAGTGTGGTGGAGACAGTGGGCATTGATCCTGCGCTGGACCCTGACCTGTGGCTGGACCGTCACCGACCAGAACAAACATCAGAGTTTTAGAGATTTTTATCCTTGACTTCAGTCTGGTTTTATCTGCCCTTCGGTGTGCTTCGGAGTATTACACACTATTATACTGTAGTACACTCACGTGTACGTATATACTATCTGATAATAAGGCACTAAGGAGCACATCTCTGCTGCGTGACTGCCAAGCTGCTGCTTATGAAATTAAACTCTAAAAATAACATGCCTATCGCATGAGTTGGTTATTTTTTTGTAGTTTACGAGGGGGGCTGGGGGGAAGTTACTGGTATAGTTGACACCTCGTACATCTGGGATTATTCTCAGTGAGAGGATGTTTTGTTGCCTGAGATTCAGTTTGAGTTAGGATTAGGGTTAGGATTAAGATTAGATAGATATTTGTTACACTTAGGGTTTAGAGGTTTAGGGTTTAGAAACTGGATACTAGATAAAACATAAATGTGACGTGCACACAAACACAAGAACTGGTGTGTGTATATATGTGTGTGTGTGTCGAACTGGTGTGTGTATATATATATGTGTGTGTGTGTTCTCAAGATGATTATTCTGCCACAGCCTTCACCTCAGATGTGACTGTCAGCAACACAATATGTTTGTATTCAGTACAAAGCAGTGAAGCTTTGAAGAGCCAGGCTGAACAATTCTGGAGTTTAACTGTTTTGTATTCCTCTGGGAATTTTAGTCCTTGGTTTTTTTTATCCATCAGCATCAACAGTAAGGATTTAGTTGTTTTGTTTTCTTTACTAAACTTACCTGGAAGTCCGTGGCCAGGTCTCTTCCAAAGGTGCCGATGGGAGAGTCGCGGGACATGGAGGTGACGGTGGACAGGAAACTGCTGGACTCTGTGAGGTTTGGCATAGGGGACAAGTCATCTGTCCTCTCTCTCAGCCCCTCCCCTACGTGCTCCAGCTTCTCCAGGAAGACGTTCAGCTCAGTGCGAAAAGCTTTCATCCGGCTGTTGATGGCATCCAGGGCCTGGGTGTCTGGTTTGGAACCTGCCGCTGCCCCTTCCTTCAGGCTCTCGCCCGTTGTCACCATCAGCCGGCCATCAAACATCAAACTGTCTGTGTCTGTGATCAGACGATCCACCGACCTCCCCAGCCTCTCGGCCTCTCGTCTGACGTTGCTCAGCGACTCCCGCTCCTCCCGCCGGCGGCTGGCCAACTCGGCGGTGCTGAGCTCGGTGATGTCTGATGGTTTGATGCTAACGAACCCTGAGGTGTTTTCTGTGGTCTTCTCGAACATGTCTTCAGAGTCGCTCTCTCCTCCAATAGGTCCCTCTCTCTTAGGATGGAGAAGAAGAAGTCTTCCCGCCTCCTCTTCCTCAGCAGACTCCCGCCGCCCCGTGTCGCTCTCTGCGTCGCTATCTCGGGGGCTGCCGGTGCGCAGGCCGATGTGTGCCACCAGGTCACAGCGCTGGACGTTGGACATGAGGACACGGTTCTCGTACTGCAGCTTCATCACTTTCCCACTCAGCTCGTTGATCTGCATCCTGGCTGATTTTAGCTCCTCCAACATCATCCCGCTGGAACCGTTGCCGTTCCCGTTGCCTGGTTTGTACAGTCCAGCGTCACCGCCCTCCTCACCCACTGGCCCTAGACTACTGCTGGGGCCGAATTTGAAGCGGTTAAGTTCAGAGGTCAGCTGTCGGTTGTGATCCTCTATTTCTGAAATTGAGCGACGTAGAAGTTCAGCTTCTTCTTCCACAAATTGGAGATGCCGGCGTAGCTCACTGGCAGATTCCAGCGAGTCACCACCGTATGGCGATGAAGGCATGCTGGAGAAGGGCTCCCGGCCGAAGCAGTCCCTTTCATACTGACAGCGGATGTCCTCGTTCTCGGCCCTCAGGCTACGGTTTTCCACCTCCAACTCCACGATCTTTCTGCCCAGGATGTTGGCCTCTTCCTCCACCAGCTTGAGTCGTAATCTCAGCTCAGCCTCTCGTGTGGTGTGAGGGCCTCCGCCGGAGCATTCAGCCAGAGGCAGTGGACTGTCCACGTCCCCGTAGACGGACTTGTACTTTTGCAGCTCCTGCTCCAGTTCGTCCTTCTCTCGGCCAAGCTTGGCCATCTTTTTCCTCATTAGGCCGGATTCTTCCTTGGCAAACTGGAGCTGGCACCTGAGGTCTGCGCTGTCCTCCTGAAAAAGGGTCAGGAGACGATAGGAGAGAAACTTAAACGTATTAGCCAATGAGAGGAGGCTTATTTGTCTGATAAATCACATCACCAGATAAATACTGTATAACCTCCATGACCCTCTATCTTATCATTCTCCAAAGGTCCATCAATTTCTCTAATACTTATACTCCAAATCTGGACCACCAAACCATCCAGTCCGGCCTGCGACTGGATTTCCAATATTGTGTTAAAGACTGAAAATACCTTTGGCTTTGTAATAAAATAAAAACATATATATATAGTTGTTAAACTAACATTTTATTTTTATTTTTATACTGTGTCTGTAATACACATTGTCTCTCCAGTAACATCCTGACCTTTCGACAAATACAGTTGGTGACCCCGGATGTTTCATCACATGTACATTTTTTTTAATAACTTCAGTGTCTGTGACTTTGATACTGGATGTATTCACTGTGTTGCTTTGAATATTTGGGGTCGATTAGTGCAGATAAACAATAATATCCACTCAAAATAATATTTTCTTTTACCTGACTTGTGTATTTTTTGTCCTTAAATGTTTCTCTGCTCCCCCGTCTCCTCAGAACAGTCTGTGACAAACACAACAAACAACAGAAAGTCAGACTTCAGTGTTCACCTCAGTGCTGCTAACAGTAAAGGTAACAATTAGAATTAAATCAAATTATAGTAATTAAAGCAACACAAGCAGCTTTGAGAGTTTGAATTGACGTATCATTCACATCGAGTTAAATATAATTCTGATTCAATTGTTAAGGAATCATCTGGACAGCAGTTCCGTGCGGCCGCAGCAATAATCTATCATAATAATTATCTCAGTGCGAATTAAAGATGACGAAGACGTTTCATCCTGTCTCTGATTCCATGACGCTGCAGGACTAAAAGTTCCATCCAGAGCTTGGTGTGACAGACGTCTAATCCCAGCTTAGACTCAGTGACACATGACACTGAGATAACCCTCAGAGACTCAGTCTGTTCTGCTGGGATGTCTGTCCTGTAGATGACACTACAGACACGCAGAGCTGGGATAAAACACACCGCCTTACAGAGCAGCTTAGCCTCATCCTCTAATCAAATCATTCATTCTTTTCTGCAACGTCTCACACGAACATCGTGAGACGTTCCAAGATGCAAGACGGGCACAAGATTTTCAAGTGAAAAAAAAAACAAAACAGTGGAGCTAAAAGAAGAAGAAGAAAAGAGAGAGGGGGTAAGGAGAAAGAGAGATACAGAGAATCACTGAGAGAGAGAGAGAGACATCGTCTCCCTGAATAAACACAGAGTGCAGAGCTGAGTGTGAGTGTGAACGTGTTCTCCTGGAACAGATTGCTGCTGTGGCAGTTATTTAAAGGTTCTGGCGATAAATTAAGCCACAGGCAAGTTCCTTTCTAGGAAGCATAACTGAATACTGATATTTCCCAACCCCATACATCAGAGAAGTCCTGAAAAAAAAAAAAAAAGATGACGACTGATGATGTCACAAACAAAGATTGGAGCGAATTGTTTTTTTAACTGTATTTTTACAATATTATTATCATTATTTAGAATAAAGATCTCTTTACAACAATATTTCATATGGCTATGTTGTGATAATAATAATAATAAGAAGAAATATAATTTTAAGATTAAACTTTAGCATAAGTTTAGCATTTAGTAGCATAGCTTTTATAGCATCTAGTCATCATGGCTGATTCAGCGGCGAGTGTTTGAACACAGAGCACACTGGTTCTTTGGTGTTGTTTCAGTGAACAGCCATCGTAGGTCTGTGTGAATCATTCACGGCTAGACGGGTGGAAAGTGTGAGGCTGGACCCGTCTTTAAAACTTTAAGAAGATTCTGACTCAGTCTCTGGCCCTGAGTCCAGGTCCACCCAAAGTCTGCCCACCTAGAAACCACAAGAAACCCAGAACAACAACATGTGGAGTGAAAACCTGGAGTGAGGCTGGTTCTGTCTTTACTGTAACCATAATCTGTTAAATCCCAGCTGTGGTGACAGAGTTAACTCTGTGGGTACACAGAGGATTAGAGCACACGTTCAACAACACTTCTGTCAACAGCAGATTACCAGAAGCAGGAAGTCTTATTCTGCCCTTTAACCTTTTCACTATAGTTATTTTAGTGAAAAAACTTTAAAGATAATAAGTCTTGATGAATAAGTGTGTACTTTCAAAGTACTTATTTCTCATATACACCGTTAGAGAATCTTACAGCTGCCAAAAAAAAAGCTGTTGGGAAAGATTAATGATGATGACGGATGATAAATAGTAGAATTAGGTTCACAGTAGGGGCTGTTAAACAATTAAACATTTTTTAATCTGATAAATATCAGGGCAGCTGTGATCGTAATTAATCTCAATTAATTCTGATTAATTGAGAACTTTATTATTACTGTATATGACTGGAACATGACTGTAGCAGTTATCACACTTGCCTTACTCCATACTGTAGCAGTTATCACACTTGCCTTACACATTTTCTTTACGTGCAGAAATTTCTGGGTTTGAAATTAATTGCGCCTCCTGTGGCAGCCTGGGTGGGTTGCAAAGACTTACACTGAATTCCCCATTGTGGGACCGATAAGGGAGTCAGTTATAATTATTATTTTGTTATTAACTGTTTTTTGTGACTAATCCAATTATGGACATGTCAAGCAAAAAGTGCAGAGGTTTAACTTAAAAGTCAGGATTTACATCAACAAGTGAGAATCCTTTGTTGTTCCTGTGTTAAACAGATGTGAAATGACCATCAAACTTTACTAGTACAGTGACAGGTGGTGGTTTTCTCTCTATTTGAGGAGGGATTGTCACCAGCTCTACATCTGCAGCCCTCAGATGATTAGCAGACTTAGAAGAAGAATGGATCACTTCCTGTTCCTATCTGTGGAGCACATGAGGTTCAGGAGCCATTAGAGTTTGGAGGTATTCAGTCACCCATTAGTGTCTGTGCATGTCTGAGGGAAAACACATTAGCATCTGAGCTAAAAGCACATCAGTCAGGAGGTGACATCTGCACTCAGTGCCTCTGACTGTCCACAGCATGGAAAGACTGGTGGGTTCACAAACCCTATCCTCTGACACGCCTGTTTGCACAAACACTATTTTTTTATTTTTTTGGCAAGTGACACTGATGGTGACATCAACCCCAAAAAATCCAGAGGAGGAGAGGGAAGGGAAGGGCCGAGGAAGAGAAGAGAGGAATAAACACAGCACTGAGGGGTGGAGGATGTGTAAGAAGTGGAACACAGCAAATGTATTTTCAGCAGTATCTGTGCTCAGCAGCCTGGCCTATTTATGCCTTTGCAGAGTGAGTGAGACGGGGGCGTCTGGCTCTGGTAAGAGGATTTTATACCAAGTGTGTTGTGACCAGGGTGATACTGGGGGTCTGCTGGGAGAGGAGGGGGGTGGGAAGGGGTCCAAGCACAAAAGGAGCTGTGACTGCGGTTTGATGTAGATAAACTGCTGGTTAGCCCTGACACAGAATCCTGAGACTCCAGCTACACATAATAAATATCAGTGTCCCAGCAGATAAGGCTGTTGGAAATGTTTGCAGGCAGATTATACTGGTGAGATTTGTACCAGTGAGCTCTTAATCTGGACTGTAATCCCCCTTTTTACTGGATACTAATGTGAAACAATATTTGCTTTATAATTTAATCACACTTTTTTCAGCCTTGAAATCAGGGATGCCAAACCACTGGGTCAGGGACCAGTAGTGATTTGTGGATCATTTGTACTGAAAAATAAAAAAATATTTTTTAGATTTTTATTTCTAAATTTACATAAAAAAAACATAATTTCCGTCTACTCTTATTTTCATGTATTGCAATTAACATTCGTAAAAGAAGCAAATAAAAATAAAAGACAAAAACCAGCAGTCCTTATAAATTATATTTATATATGCTCACACACACACTGCTGCTGGGCCAGAAAAAGGTAGAGGGCTGTGGTTCTAAATGAGACATTCCATGAGGTTTGTTTTTTTTTAGATCTCAGACATGATTCATGGCCTTGTGTCAATTGAATGGACCACCAATCTCTGGCCTGCACCCCCCACAGTGGCCTAAATGTACCATTCTAGATCTGGATATGCTCTGCCGGCCAAATACGAGCCACACGTCTCACTGAAATTCAATTTCAGATTGACATTAATGGTGCAGGAACTGCACGCTGGGCCCGCTGCGGCGAAGGCACCGTAAACAGCTGTGGCAGCGTTATTTCACAAAGGGCCTGGACCAATCAAAGCAGAGTGAATGAAAGTGATCGAGCAGAGTGCGCTCCGTACACGGTGTGCCGTGTGTACTGTATATCTGCAGTCTGAGGAGGTGCTGGTGTCTCACTGTACTGGACCCTGCTGCATGTGTGTCGGCGCGTGTGCAGGATTCATGTTACTGAGGCTGGATGGAGCCGTCTGTCACTGCGGTCACTCCAATGTCAGGAGCATCCTGTGAACAGACTCTCAGTCGCCTCCCTGGGAGGAGGATTTTTCACTATTTTCAGTCTCTGGTTAGTCTGACAAACTGTTTCTGTTTATTATTGAAAAACTGCTTCAATGCGTGCAATCAAATAGAAAGATGAGAAGATTTGTTAAGTATTAACTCAGAATTTAGTGAGAAAAACTGCTCCATCTTTGAGAGTTGAATAAAAAAAAGAGTTAAATAAAAAAAAAAACATTTGATTCCGGGTTACCAGATATGATTAATAGATTAAATACAAATCAATTTTTCCATTAAACTTCATTTTAATTAAAGTGTTTTAATTAATTAAAAAAAAAAAAGCAAACTTAATGTATTTCCGGTATCGTTCTTGAGTCATATTTTTGTATCCAATAACCAAGGTTCTGTTAGATATTTATTTTCTCACACATACTGAATTACACATTTTCAAATAATCATTTTAGCAGGAGCAGTAATAATCCATCATAACTACTACATTGTTACCTGCAGCTATAAAGTCCCAGTATATGACGTGTGAACAGTGCTGCTATTCTTGGTTGCCCTCTAGAGGGTTGTTGGTCTTATGGCAACCTATATAGAAAACACTAAATCTCCCAGGAATCAATAGTGTTAGCTACAGAGACGTACACTGCCCTGCACATGTCGTACATCATCCTGCACTGCAGTCCCTGCCTGTGTACAAACGCATGTTTGTGTTTGTTTATCTGCAGTGTGTGTGTGTCGTCAGCCGAGGGTCACTCCCATACAGTTTATCTTCGGCGAGTCGACCCTGACCTCAGTCTCCGACCCGACGTACACTAAAGAGCAGCACAATAAAGCCTTTACGGGGCGTGTGGCCGGCCTTTCACTGCAGCTTTACAAATCTGCCTGAACAACCTGACAGTCTGGAAACGCAACCGACTGGTCTATTTTTAAATATTATTCATTTGCTAAAATGCATGCAATGTTTAACAGTTCTGACAAGATAAGAAACAAACAAACGAGAAGACATCTGAACACAGCACAGAGCACCGTGACCAGCGCTCCAGCATGACACGTCAATATGTTGGCAAACGAGTTCTTCAGCGGCTTTCAGTGTGTAACGCCGATTCAGCAGTTCTCCTATTGACGTAGACAGTC